TACTGGGAGTCTCAGCTCCAACATCACTCACAAAGGCTAGATACGAAAGACATCCCTTCCCAACCATACGCTGGGCCTTCAAGAAGGAGATTACCCTACTGGGAACATAATCAGTCAAGCCTTGCCACTCGATCCGTGGCATACCCGGTATAGCCAATGTGACTGTCTTAGCATGACAGTCTAGAATAGCACGACACAGAGATAGCCAATCCATGCCTAAAATGATATCGAAATCCATCATACACAATAATAAAAAATCCACACGCATCTCCAGACCCCCAATAGTCACCACACACGACCAGTACACACGGTCTACAACAACATTATCGTCCACCGGGGTAGATATATGAACATGTGAAGCAAGAAACTCACGGGGCGTACCCAAATAATGAGCAAAGTAAGATGACACATATGAAAAGGTGGAGCCGGGATCAAATAATATAGAGGCATCTCTGTGGCAGACTGAAACAATACATGTAATAATAGCATCTGAAGCAATAACATCGGGTCTGCCTGGAAGTGCATAGAAACGGACCTGACCGCCATCTGATCGACCTCCCCCTCTGGGGCGACCCCTAGCTGACTGGGCGGGTGTTGGTGAAGTAACTGGCGCTGAAGCCGATGACTGATTCACCCGCACGCCTCAAACTGGAACCAACATAGCACGTAACCATGCGATTAACTAATTAATAGTAGACTCCCCCACTTGGCTTGAAGCCATAGACCAAAACATACACAATAACTCATAACACATACTTTATTACTGTCATAATACCATAGTGAGATTAAACGCAATCCTTCATAAGCTCGTAGAACAATGATCATCTGGTACTTTATATCTTCTGCAAATCTCGCATTCACTCTCGTAGTAGTCAAGCCTGCTCTCTTGAGAAACCCAAATTCAAATTGTAAAACATATATTTCTCTGGTAACAGAGATCTTCCAATAAATGGCACAAGGGATTATGCAAACTTCAGAACAATCCGTAGAAGATAACCCCACCTACTTTGCCTCAAACTAATATTTCTGTATACCTTCCACCGTCATAAACATTACGCAGTCACTTAAACTCCTGAGTCTGAACTCAAACCGCAACATGAAATTTACTCCACTCCCAACTAGGAAACATCGAAAGATTCTTCACATACCCATAACTCGGGGCTATACCTCAAATCAAGATAAAAATCGAGCACCTAGGAGTCCTCCTATCCTCCAGCAGGACCTTCTCGTCACTTCCATATCACATGAATACATCTCTCAGTCACATCACACTCATCACATAACTATCCAGTCATCACCTCCCTTAATAGGGACACAACAGAACATATGGATCCAGAAACACGTGCTCACGAAGTCAACAACTCAGGGCTCAAGCTATAGGCAAAAATCCAGCCTCAAGTCTTCCCGACTGCCCCAACATCAACACACAGAGATCACATCTCGCCCCTTGATTGGGGAATCACAAGCCATCAATGCATATCCGATATCGAGCGCTCATGTGCGCATACGAACATGTGGAAGGAATTCAAAGAGTTACATTTCAAGTTGAATCAAGGACGCATGATAAGAATTCAAGAATATGAAGTTTTTCCTAAAGGTTCTAAAGCCTCTCGAGGATAAATACAGATGTCTCTGTACCGATCCGCGAGACTCTACTAAACCTTCTCATGACTCGTGAGACCTATGCAACCTAGGTTTTGATACCAACTTGTCACGACCCTAAACCCAACCCGGTCATGATAGTGCTTCTCGTGAAGACAAAACCAACCGACTCACTTCTAATTCATTTTTAGCAATTAAAATAATAACTACTAAGTCTTTAATCAGAAATAAAATCCCGAAATAAGCATTTAACAATATAATTTGCGGAAATAAAAGCCAACACAGCCCGACATCGGGATGTAATTAGTCATGAGCATCTAAAACAATACTACCAGTCTGAAAGTCTGCTCTACAACTAAATAACTGAATCAGAAAAGAAATAAGATAGAGAGAGGTTGCACTGGGTTGCGAATCGCGAAGCAGCTGCCTAGTAAACCTCCGAAGATCTACTGGAACTGTCAACCATCAGTAGCAGGACCTGTAGTGCCCGAATCTGCACACAGAGGTGCAGGGAGTAAAGTGAGTACTTCCAACTCAGTAAGTAATAAGAATAAATGAAGACTGAATGATATAAAATCAAGTTAAACACAATATTTAACTATCGGAGGCATAACAAAATCAGTGACACAATTTAACAATGAAATCTCATAAAAATACCTTTTTAAGCAGTCTACAATAGATAGGAAAAACAACTAGGAATGGTGAACACATAAGAACTGCCCCTCGGGCACAATAACATCAAATCAGCCCCTCGGGCAATATCACAATGCAATACCAGTCCCTCGGGCTATATCTCATGTCACAATGGGTACCCGCATTCACTAGGATTTTGCAGACTCCTGGAGGGGCCCCGTACGGCCCAAGCGCAATATCAAGCCATCTCGTGGCATCATAAACAGGCTCTCGGCCTTATATCAATATCAAGCCACCTCGTGGCGTACAATCTCAGGCCCTCGTCCTCATTATCATAATTAGTGTATCACTGTTGTACCGTGCAACCCGACCCAAAAGTATCCTCATACATACCCTCGGCCTTACTCAGTCAGAATCTCATAAGCCCTTCGGGCAATAGTAAAAATATGCAGCTCAACTCAAAATATCTTTAAAACATCATTTAAGGTTTCTAAAACAGATTAACATAGCTGAGTTTGAAAATATTGAAAGATCTGGCATGACTAAGCACAAGTATGAAATCAAACAGTAAGGAAAATATCAATAACGATCCCCTAAGGGTTCAAACAGTTGGCATGAAGCCCAAATATGACATTTAGCCCAAAGTATAATAATATCAAACAATTAGCTACCAAATGTATATAAAAATAGTCATTCAGGATGGACTAAGTCACAATCCCCAACGGTGCACGACCCCACACTCGTCATCTAGCGCGTGCGTCACCTCAACACAACCGAACGTTGTATAATCCGGGATTTCATACCCTCAGAACAACATTTAAATCACTACTCACCTCGAAAAGCTACTCTGCAACACGCTTGACTCTCGAACCAACTTCCGAGTGCTCCAAATCTACCAAGTTCAGATTTTTATCATCAAATTATGCTAAACGAATGAATTCCAATTGAAAAATATCGATTTTAAGCACAAAACCCGAAATCAGTCAAAACCCGACTCCCGGATCCGCGTCCAGGAACTGGAAAAACTTTATACCAAAATGTTCTTCATCATCTCACGAGTCCGTACCTATAAAGAACTCGAAAATCGGAGTTTGTTTGACTCCTCAAATCATCCTTAGAAGGTCTCATAACCTCAAGCCCTAACTTCACCTTTTTCTACTGATTTTCATGAATTCAACACTGATATTTTGTTCCTTAATCACAAATAATCGAGTTTTAAGGTCCAAAATCGTTACCTCAATGAAGAACTATGATTTCCTCTCTTCAAAATTGCCTCAAAGCTCTTTTCCCGTTCAAAAATGGTGTAAAAGGGTTTAATGGTCGTAGAGAGTTTATTTAAATACTGCTCACACGTTTTATTGTACACCTGAGTTACTGCGAAAAATGCAACAGTTTTTCTTCTAGTCTAAATTGATCTGTTAACCTTTCGAGATCCACCCGAGGCCCTCGGAAATCTCAACAAATATACCAACACATCCCATAACATCATTCGAACTTAGTTGAGCCTTCAAAACACCAGAAACAACATCAAAACACCAAAATCACATCAAATTCAAGCCTATGAACTTTGAAATTCCTAAATTCCACCAACGATGTCGAAACTATCCAAAACCACTCTGATTGACCTGAAATTTTGCAGATATATCCAAAATGACATTAAGAACCTGTTCCAACTATCGGAATTCCATTCCGACCCCGAGCCTATTTTCCACTGCCGACCGGAAATCGCCAAAAACTAACTTTCGCCAATTCAAGCCTAATTTTGCATCGGACATCACAAAAATATTCTGGACACACTCCTAAGTCCCAAATTACCTAATGAAGCTATCCGAGCCATAAAATTCGCATTTCGAGGTCGTTTACCAATAAGTCAACTCTCGGTTGACTTTTCTAACTCTAAAGCTACTTTTTAGAGACTAAGTGTCTCAAACCTTACCAAAACCATTCCGGATTCGATCCGACCAATTCGATGCCACATAACACGGATAAACAAAGCATAAAAAAGTAGAAGTGGGGTAAAACGGAATGGTAACTTATGAGACGATTGGCCGGGTCGTCACAGATACGCAGGAATAATCTTTTGAAGGAACTCAAAACAAATATTCATTGAATTTGTTTTTTGATATAATGGAAGTCTAAAGCAAATAAAATATAAGTTGTCTTAAAAAGGATAGTATTTGTGGCAACTGCAGTTGTCATAAAGTTAAGGGGATTGTGGCAAAGAGAGTTTGCTTTTGAAAGGACAAAACGTTCTGCAGCGATCAAAGTCGCCACTAAAAGCCTTAACAGTCGCCACCAAAAGTTGGCCTGGCTTGTCGCCCCTTTAAGTTGGTGACCTACTATGCCCATTTTTAGTGGCGGCATTGGTCGTCACGCAAACATTTTATAATTTCATTTTCCGCCTACTTAAAATTGAAATTAAGATACTTAAAATTGAAATTAAGATACATAAAATTGAAACAAAGAAACAGAGAGAGCAATTAAAATACCAAGCTTATAATAATCACAATAAATGAATTTTTATATATGCATTCATCTTGTTACTGACTCCGCCTACTACCAACTTTACATATTAAACCAACAATACTAAGAAAAATAAGAGAAAAAAACGAAATCTATATATCTTTCTAATTTTGTCTAAAGCTCCTACTTCATATATTTAGAGGCTAGATATGCAGAGACGAGTCCACAATTTGAAGTGTACGGGTTCCTACAAATCAGACCTACTGTGTATTTAAACAAGGACCAGCATGTTCAACTCCATATTATTGGCCATGAGCATTCTTACAATATGCTGTAACTTTCCCTCCAAGAGTTGCTGATGTTAACCGTATTTGTTGCAGTGTAATATCAGTGCATGGCACTGAATTACTACAATTCAAGTTTATTGCTATATCTGTACTTGATGTTCCTTTCATGTTCTCGTAAACAACATTGCTAATGTGTACTCCTATTGGCTGTGATGAAAAAAGAAAAACTCATGAGTTCGATATTAATTCGAACTATGTATACATATGTAACAAAATAAAATAAAGTTAACTTGTTTTACCATTTCTTTACAGGCTCCTCGGACATCACAATAATTTTGGTCAATGATAATGGGGTTGTCCATAGAGTTGAATTCAAGATTCTCAAATCGAACATCTCGTACATATCCTGTGCCAACCTATTCATATATTTAACAAGAAGTCAATTTTTTCCAATTGATTTTTTTTTTTTTTTTTTTTTTTTTTTTTTTGGTAAATGATCAATATATCTACATTATATGTACCTGCCATGTCTTGATACGAGCTCCATTTGTTGTTCCGGAGAAGAAAGAATTGCTCACATTGATATTCTCCACTTGAGTTAAATTACCACCTTTTCCTAAGCTTCCAATGCTGTGATCCTATATATATAAGCAGTACGATTAAAATTCATTACCTTTTGGAATTTAATCTTGACTTATTAAAAAAATACATATTAAGAATCACTAGGTCTTTGTGTGACCTATAGGTCACGGGTTCGAGCCGTGGAAATAGCTGCTAATGCTTGCATTACTGTAGGTTGTCTACGTCACATCTCTAGAGGTGCGACCCTTCCCCGAACCCTGCGTGAATGCGGGATACTTCGTGGACTATAGTAATTAAGTACTTTAGAGAAAAAGAAACAACCTTATACCATGACCTGGTCCACAATGGATATCAGATATATTAATATAAGAACTATGATCTCCAATTGAAATACAATCATTCCCTGTCCATCACAAGGCCAAATTAAACAAGTCATTACATAAGTAATAGTAAAAACAGAATATCATAACACGAAACGCTGGACAATTGCTAAGAACAATTCTACTTAGACTCTTCGAAAATATCGTCCGAATATGTGATGAATCCTCAAAAAACAATGCATTTTTGGCAGATTCAACACGAGGGCATGCAACAGTATATTTCAAAGAGTTCGAACAATATAGGTTAAAAACACGTAGCAGAGCTTATATTAGAATTGGTAATGGTCACAAATTGAGAAGACTGAATATGAATTCCATCGTTATTTGGAGAATATCTTGGAGACTGGCTAAATACATGTTCGACCATGAAATCATTGCAACCCCTAACGAGTATATGAGTTTGTGTACTATTGATAAAGTTGATGTTGCTTATGGAACTTTTATTGCATGAAAGGAACTTCATGGCCTGTCGAATATAATTTACTTATTAGTGAAATTAAATAGAGTTTATCAATTCTCTTAGGGGTTGTTTCGGCGCAATTTATCCCAACCAAATGTGGGATAAACTTAACTCAAATTTAATCCCGAGATTAATTATCCATTATCCCTCGTAACAAACGAGCCCTTCGAGTTAATTAAGAATTCAAAATTAAAGGGTGTCAAGAGAACTTACAGTAGAAGCTAATTTTGTGCATCCTGGCTGAAAAACAAAAGGAGGATAAAACTGTAAATATATAACTAATAGCATTAATCATGAGGGGATTTTTATAAAATTACTCTTATCATGTATTACTTGAATTAATTGTAATTACAATATGAAGTAGTAAGGGTGAAATTGGAAGAAAAATCATACATACATATACCTTTGATTTTTTAAAAATGACAAATTATTTGAAATATAATTTACTTTTCACTAAAGTATAGCATATTACAAAAGACTAAGACATACCATATTAGGATGGTGTCTACATGATTGATCCCACCATTCTTTTCCTTGGCCATCAATGGATCCCAAGCCATCAACATATAAACCATTAAGAAGTCTCCCTGATATCTATATGAGAAGTCATATATATATGAATTAAGAAAATATTAATGACTTAATACTATTCCGTTCGTTCCACTTTATGTGGCGTAATTCGAAGTAAGAGAATCAAATAAACTAATTTTCAGTGTGAATCCGAGCATAAAGTTTTTTATTTTTTCTTTTGAAATAAAACTTACATATTTAAATATTATATAAAAAAATATAATAAGACACATTCAATATATTTAAAAAGTATTTAAAAAAACATGGACAAAGAATTTTTTTTGACTTTTCAAATAGTAATTGTGTCACATAAATTAGAACATACATATAGGGCCGTTACCAGAAATTTGATGTTGCCAGAATTACAAGGGCCGTTAAACATCACAGGATTAAGTAAAAATGTCTTATTAGGAGAAATAATGTTTTATAATGTCTTATTAAGTAAAAACATCACTTATTTTAAAATGAAATTCTATATTTCCGAGGCCTTGAAAACCTCATTTAGAGTTACCTCGATTTGCGTGCGCAGTCCGGGCGCGTAGCCGGAAAGCTTAAATATAAAAATCTATGAAAAATGATAAAATTTGGTTAATTTGACTTCGGTCAACGTTTTGGATAAACGAACCCGGACCCGTGATTTGATGGTCCCGGAGGATCCGTAGGAAAATATGGGACTTGGGCGTGTGCCCGGAATCGGATTCCGAGGTCCTAAGCCCGAGAAATGAATTTTTAAAGAAAATTGTTTTCAGAAATTGTTTAAGGAAATTTAAAATGAAATTTGATTAGAACGTGATGGTATCGGGCCCGTATTTGGGTTCCGGCGCCCGGTACAGGTCTTATATATGATTTAAGACATTTCTATAAAATTTGGTGAAAAACGAATGTCATTTGACGTGATTCGGACCTAAATTACTAAAGTTGATGTTTTAAGAAGTTTGAGAAAATTCTACGATTTTGAGGTTTAATTCGTTGTTATTGATGTTATTTTGGTGATATGAGTACACGAACAAATCCGTAGGATATTTTTGAGGTTGTGCGTATATTTGGTTTGGAACCCCGAGGGCTCGGGTGAGGTTTGGATAGGCCACGGGTTGCATTTTTGAACTTAGAAATTGCAGAAAATTTTTGTTGGTATGAACAGGCTTGCAGGCTTCGCATTTGCAAAGCCTGGCTCACAAATACGAAGGCTGGATCACAAATGCGAAACCAGCCTAGGCCTGCCTTGACTCGCAAATGCGAGGTTTTTTTTGCAAATGCGAAGGTTTGCCTATTGGCCAGGGATCGCAAATGCGAAGTCGCAAATGCGACAATAGTTTCGCAAATGCAAAAGTTTGGGATTTCTGAAGGGTTCGCAAATGCGAACCCTGTTTCGCATTTCCCAGCTTATCAGGGGTCGGGGTGCGAACTGTTCGCAATTCCCATACCTATGACCTGCAACTTTATACTTAACCGATTTTAAAACCCATTTTTCATATTCTCTCAAACATAAACACACTTAGGCGATTTTTCAAGGATTCCTTCTTCTCCAAATCAATTGTAAGTCATTTTTAAGTAGTTTTCTTCAATTATTAACATCTTTTAACATGATTTCAACTTCACATCAATGATTTTCATAGGGAAAATTGGGTGTATTGGGTAGAACCTAGGTTCTTCAAAAATTAGGGATTTGGACCTCGATTTGAGGTCCGATTTCAAAATAAATCATATATTTGGGTTCATGGGGGAATGGGTAATCGGGTTTTGGTCCGAACCTCGGGCTTTGACCATGTGGACCCGAGGGCGATTTTTGACTTTTTGGGTAAAACTTTGGAAAACTCACTTTCATGCATTAGGGTTGATTCATTTAGTGTTTATTGATGTAATTAAGTAATTTGTGGCTAGATACGACCGAATTGGCGGTGGAATATAGGGGTAAAGCTATAATTGATCTTTGAGTTGTGTTCGAGGCATCGAGGTAAGTGTTTGGTCTAACCCTAGCTTGAGGGATTAGGAGTTGTGCCCTATTTGCTAATTTCTTGTAGAGTACGACGTATAGGCATGGTGACGAGTATCTATACGTTGGTGTCGAGCATGACCGTGAGTCTTAAATTGATATTTGTCGTGTTCCTAAATGATTCTACAGATGCTTTAATGGATGATTCTCGATATTGGGTAAGGATTTAGTTTATTTTCGTGGAACTCATTTATGACTGAGCATCAGTATTAATTGAGCTGAGTAGAAGTGGAGTTAAGATTGGTTATAGCTGATTCTCCCTTGCCGGGATGTTTGTTTCGATATTGTTGTTCCCTTGCCGGGAAGTTATTATACTATTTTAATTTGTTCCCTTACTGGGAAGTTATATATTGCTTTGTTCCCTTGCCGGGATTTCCTTGTGCTTTTGTTTTGGCTTGGAATGGGAGGGGGTGGTACGCCTACCACAAGATTTGATGAAATGGGAGCGGGTGGTACACCTACCACAAGATTTAATGAAAAGGGAGCGGGTGGTACACCTACCACGAGATTTAATGAAATGGGAGCGGGTGGTACGCCTACCACAAGATATGATGAAATGGGATCGGGTTGCACGCCTGCAGCAAGATGTGAACCGAAAGTGAAATCTGCCTTTGTTTTCCTTATCCTTGTTAGAAGTTGAATTTTGATTTCCTTATAATTCTCTTGAGATTCTGCTTTATTTGTTATTTCCCCAAGCATGTTTTCCCCTTCCCAGCTTTTATTGCTTGTATCAGTTTATTTCCCTCAATGTATATATATAACTGCACAGGTTTATCTGGAGTCTGGTCCTAGCCTCGTCACTACCTCGCCGAGGCTAGGCCAGGCACTTACCGGCACATGGAGTCGGTTGTGCTGATACTACACTCTGCACTCTGTGCAGATACCGGAGCAGCACTTGGTCAGCAGTAGTAGGGGAGCCAACCTTCAGTCCACCGAGACTCCGAGGTAGCCCTGCAGGCGTCTGCAGGCCCAACGTCTCTTCTATCAGTTTTTATGTTCTGTTATCATTTGTACTCAAAACAGACTATGTTCTTTTCTTTCGAACACTTATTTGTAGTACTCATAGTTAGTCCGTGAACGTTGTGACATCAGTTTCTGGGTAGAGGCACATGTGAAGTTTCTTATTATTTTGGTTCATTTTATCTAAGTCTTCCGCTTAATCTCATATTCCGCTGTTATTTAAATGTTTATCGCTCGTTAATGTATGTTATAAAAAGGATTAAAACAAAAGAGTTAAGACTTTCTAATTTTATGGCTTGCCTATCTTCTACGAGTAGGCGCCATCACAACTCTCGAGGGTGGGAAATCCGAGTCGTGACAAATAATCACTTCAGGAGATCCTGCTGATGACGAACATGCATGGTTCCATGCATTTAGGAAAGCCTGGAAATAAACGAAAATAAATCTTTAATCAATATACTTAAGCGCAATATATATAAGGAACGTAAATTAAACAAGACTTACTTTAGAATTATCAGTAATTCTATCAGCAGTAGCTCCATAATCAAGGACATTAAAACTGCCTGAGTTGCCAATTAATCTTGCACATGATATGCTAGTATTTGTTAAGCTAAGAATGAGCAAGAGGGCCAAAGTTTTCTACCAAAAAAAAAAAAATGCATGCAGAAAGTCAGAAATTTAATGAACGTGCATGGCAAAGAAATAATCACCACCACAACAAAAAAAAAAAAACAAATAATTATGGCATATTATCATGTAAAATTTCAATGGTTAATTAGTAATAAAATAAAAGAGAGAAATTTCAAGAAAATATTTACCATGGTGTATGAAGAATTAGAGGAACACATTTGCAAATAGTGATTGTCTGCACCATGACCAAAAATTAGTTCAAAGAGTTATCGAAAATTTTAATATATATCAAAATTATCGGAATAGAAATCGAAGAAATTAAAAAAAAATCTAGTGAGGACTAGAAGAACTTTTAAAATTTAGAGAAATTAGCTTCTCTAGTATTAATGAACTAACATGTCAATAACAAGAATAACTTTTAAACTTTAGGAAAAAAAAATTACAAGAAAAATGAGGAACCAAATGGCCTTAATTTTATACAATAAAAGCATGTATGTGTTTAGTACTATAAAAAAGTTTTTTAAACATAAAGTAGCAATATTTCGACTCGTACCCTAGCCAGTTCTACGAACAATTCATTCCCTTCTTTCAAAAAATAAAAATAAACAATAGAAAAGAAGCTTCTATATTTTGCAATGCAATGCAAAATAACGAAATTATTTTGCATGCATGAGAAACGAAAGTAGCTATACCTTTTTTTTCCAAGAGTATTATTTTACGGAGGGTCGATTAGGATCTAACATCTATAATATAT